GACCTGATTGCACAAAGATTTAACATCTAATTTAACACCAAACCAGAAAACTTAAAAAGCAAACAGCATCCATTAGAACAGCTCCCAGAGCAGGCAGCTCAGTGTTTCTTTCCTGCACTGCAGGAGGGGAAAAAAGCTAAATTTTCATCATTTTATTTGCTGCTGAGGCATTTAATCCACATTATTTCTTTGGTACTACATTTATATTTGGTATTAATGATCAAAGCTGTAATCTGCAGGAGAGACGGCGGCTGCAGCAAATTTTACCCCTAAAGCAGCTGAAAAGACTCTTTTCTTCTCCTTGTTGAGGAGATGGTTTGAAGACATCTGACATGTTATTTATTTATTCAGTGTTGAAGGTGTTTGTTTTGACTCGTTTAAAGAGAAGATAGTCACTAAAGGACTTTTAGCGAGCTGTGTCCAAATATCAGTGGTGCTGGAAGCGGTCCAGAGCTGCACGAGGAGGCGATGGAAGGAGCTTCGTTTCCTCCTCTAAGTTCCTATTTAACAATATGAAACCTGCTTTAGTTGCTCTAAAGGCTCCCACACATACTCACAGGCCCTAGTTCTAGTTCAAATAAGCTAATCAAGCTCTTTCCTTTAATCACAAACTGGATTTAAAGACAAAGCAAAGGGAAAATGTTGCCAAGTCACTCATAATTAAAGGCCATGTGAGCGACGCTTTGCTTTTCACTCTAGTGAATCATCTAAGAGAAGCTAAGTCAGAGAAACGGTGTGTGTCTGCGTGTGTGAGCCTTTACAGCAGCGATTTCATACCCACCAGTCTGATGCTGCTTTAACACTTTAAGGTACTGTGAGCTCCCGTTATGTAAACTGACATTAACTAACTGTTACCATGTGAGGATGTGATAATGTGTCCACGAAGGTCATTTTAAAGCTGATCTGAGCGCGCTCAGTGCTCATTGTGTTTGTGTTGGTGTGGAAAGACACGGGTGCTGCTGACACTCCACACAGACGAGAACCTTTGAGGGAAACTCGTCCGTTTAGTGTTTTCTTTGACAAATGCCAACAGAATGTACCGGAAAGCTCTCTGTGCTGTAAATACTGAACGTTTAGTGTTTGTTAAGTTAGTGCGTTTCAGACAGGATAACATCAACTCCACGTTTTATTTGAATGGTGGGTGGTTATGAGGTAGAAATCACACATCTGCACTTTTGTTTGTGGGCTTTGGAAATAAAGGGACTGAAGAACAAACGAAAACTTTGAACTTAACCTCAGAATAAACTCGACTCCCTTTTTTATTTATTTTTTACTTAGAAGCTTTTAAAAACTCTAATCACACAGAATCAACAGTAATTTAATCAAAACTGGATCCATTTTTAAAAAAATATTAAAAATATTTACTCACTGTTTCACATCAGGGGGATCAGTAAAGCATCCATCTGTTTAAATGAACTGGATTAGTCCACCAGATGGCGCTGGTCGTTCAGACCTCCTGACAAGCCTGTCTGTTTCCTGCCACAGTCCAAACACGTCCACATTAGCTTCACCTAATTTAAGTGTGGTTATTTCTCTGACTTCACCTGTCGCCGTGGGATACGCTCCAGCCCCTCTGTGACCTTACAAAATAGATACAATCGATCAAAACAGACAGTCTGCTCTGAAGTGAGAAGCATTAACTCCTTTCTTAAAGATCATCAAACATTAAAAGCAGCCTGAATCCAAACAACGCCATAAAAACTGTAAGATTAACACCACACATTTGTATTTATTAAGATTTCTGATGCAACACAGCCAGTAATCTTTCAAGAAAGAGTCAACAATTTGTGGACTGGGCACTTCCTCCTCTTTGGTGGCTCTCTCCATCTCCAACTCTGTAATAAAAACTCTTCCTCTGCACTGTGTTAGAGTTTTTCTGTTTGCTTGTTTTTTTCATTTGGATCTTGCTTTTATTATCTTTAATTATCTCTTATGCAAACAGAACTGTCTGAGCACATTAATATCTTTACATATTAAACGTTTCATTCGGTGTTTCAATACCAACTTTTTGATCTGCACAAAACTGCTTCTGCATCAAAGCAGTAAGATTAACATGGTGCAGTTTATTAGAGCCAAACTTAAAGCTGCTGCTTTTACCTTGTGTCATTACTATTCACAGTTAAAACGTGTTTTCTCTGTAGCTATGAACAGCTGAACTCGTGCTTTTGATGTACCGCGGACAGAGGTGACAGCACAGCGGTGGTTCTCCAGAGCCAAGATGGTCTGAGCATTGCATTTGAGATAAATCCACATTAACCACAGGGAGACACATCCTGATGTTAAGACCGCCATGTTTATAAACCTGACCGTGTAGACTTCCTTTGAACTTCCTGTATGTGGTCCATGATGTGGACATCAGCTGTGTTTGTCAGTAATAGCCCTACACAAAGCTACACTTTAAAAGATACATAACTGCAATATTATTTCCATTTCAGGCTTTTTTATGTGTTTGATTTTAGAGTCCACAGACGCACCAACAGCAGTTTTTATATAAAAACACCAACTTCTCCTGAATTTAATTGATGTTTATGTTTCTGAGGTAAAGGTGTTTCCCTCCTGGTTTTCCAGCCATCTGGGTGACACAGAGACAGTACTTCTCAAACAGGAAATTCTGCAGCTCCATGTGGAATTCCGTCAGGAAGTCCAGGTCGGTGTACATGACCTGGAGCAGCACCAGCATCTCCGCCTCTCCCCACTGCCTGTCAGCAGCAGCACAGTATATGTGTGTGAGAGTGTGTTTTATGTGGGTTGGCACTGACCGGTTGTCAATGATGGGAGTCTTTTGTTTTTTTAGATGTTCTCACACTTCTTCCATCACCTGCAGGGACATACAGCAACAGAGACTCAGTGCTGCCCCCAAAGGCAAAATAAAGCAACTACATGTTTATAAAAACCTGTTATATCCTCAGTCTGACTGATATTTATGTTGTTATTACATAAACAGCTCTTTAATTTGCAGTTACATGTGTGGTGTTGGAGTCTTTATCTGGCAGCACACTCAGAAACTGGCCACAAATGAACTAATAATACAAGTGAAACTTGTTGTTATGATACTTTAATAACGTTTTTATATTATGACAAAAATATGACAATAATGACACATTAAGTCATAACCTTGAGCATTTGTATTACATCGCTGGATACAAATTAAAAAAAGAGTGAGCAAGTCATAATTATGATATTTAGGCTCATTATTGTCTGATATGAGGCATTAAGTCATTGTTAATTATTAATTAGAAGATGCTAAATCCTAATTTTAAGATATGATGAAGGCATCGCTTCTTATAAGTATATGAGGTCCAAATATCAAAAGAAAGACATTCATGAGTATGACAATAAAGTTCATTATCATACTAAAGTCATCTCTTATGAGACACTAAATGATTGTTATGAGAATTTCCATCAAACCTGTGAGATACTAACTTGTAATTAAGAGATAATAAGTCATAATTATGCTTACTCACATTGTTATTGGTGACAGTCTTCCAAAGGGATTTATTATTAAAGGTTTAGCTACTAAATCTTAAAGGATGGTGAAGTAAAACGTTCCTTCACTGTTTATTGGAATGAGTGAACTATCCAGCTTGTTCCACAGTATTTTAGTTTCACTTTGGTGTTATTTTTCCCTGATGTGAAGACTTATCCCTGATAGGGCCCTGGCTGTCACATGGCTTATTCATGACTCTCTTGAGATGGACGAGGCTCTTTTAACCACATAGAGGTCAGACCCTCACTCTGAAGCTGCAGGGGCGTTCATGAAACATGGAAACTTACTTACTTACATCATTCATGATTTCTTAGTTTTTGTGTATTTGTCATGCTTACATGTTCCAGATCATCAAACACATTTAACACTAGACAAAGATAACACAAGTAAATACAAAATTATTTCTTCACTGAGTGAAAAATGCTATCCAAACCTACCTGCCCCTGTGTGAAAAAGTGATTGCCCTATAAACCTCATTAATGGTTCTTGTGTGACTTGGTAGCATCAAGTGTTTGCGATAACTAGCAATGAGTCATCACTGTGGAGGATCTTCAAGATCAGCTTTTGTCTCATCAGTCCACAGAGTATTTTTGCCCAGTCTCTTTCTTATTGTTGAATCATGAACTCTGACCTTAACTGAGACAAGTGAGCCCTGCAGTTCTGTAGATGTTGTTCTGGGTTCTGCTGTGACCTCCTGGATGAGTCATCAGTGCACTCTTGGAGTAATTTTGGTTACCCGGTCACTCCTGGGAAGGTTCACAACTCTTTCAAGTTTACTCCGTTTGTGTAAAATGGCTCTTTATTTGGTTCACTGCACTCCTGAAGCCTTACAAATGGCTTTTTAACACTTTTCCAGACTGATAGATGCCAGTGACTTTGTTTCTCAGCTGTTTCTGTAGCTGTTTCAACTCTTTTAGCCTGCCTCATTTTGTCATACATGTTCTGTTTTAATTCAAATTGAACTCAGTTTTCCAAAAATGTGGTTAATCACAGCTAATTTGCAGTGAATTTCTTTTTCACACACGGCCAGATATGGCTTTCCCCCCCTAATAAATAAAATCATCATTTCAAAACTGCATTTTATATTTAGTTGGCTTATCTTTTAAAAAGAATATATTAAAATTTGCTTGATGATCTGAAACATGCAAGTGTGACAAATATGCCAAACAAATCTAAGAAATCAGCACATATACAGCCCTTACGTTCACAGTGCGCATAGTGACTTCTTCTGAGACTTTTAGACAACCGGATCAAAATGCAGGCCCTGTCTCTAACCTTTGAGATCTGCAACAAGCAGTGGTCTCCAAACTCAGTTCTCTCTAACTTCTCATTCACCATAAAAATAAATAAATAATTTTTGTTGTCATCTCGGAGCCAAGTTGGGCCCGGATGACACCTCTTGACTCTGACAGGCACACCTTGAATTTTTAAAAGGGGTCACCTGAGGCTGACGGGAGAGCCCTCCCAACCATGTACGCCCTCCTCCGGCTGTAGTTGCGCGCTTCTGCCGGGAGGTGTCGCGACTATGCGGCTTCACTCGACTCGCTGCAGGACTCTACGGCGTCTGGCAGGGGTCATGATTTGATTTACTACGGCAAATAATAATCTTCCCCTTTTTCATTAGCAGCGGGCAGCTCGTCAGTTAGAGAGGTGAGAGGTTAGAAGCGCAGAGATGGCGTGAGCTGCCAGAAGATTAAGATTTCACCAGCGAGGAAGTGATCGCCGAGCCCCACGGAGGAAAGTAACGGTAGTTTGTGGCCGGAGGCAGCATCGCCACTTCTGACTTTTTTCCCTGGGAACGAGTCAGTCCATCCGGTGAGTGGATTTACAGCCGGTCGCTGAATTAATAACTAGTTAATTAAGCCGCCAGGAGTCCGAGAGACAGGTTAGAGGCGTTCACGGCTCTCCTGCGGGGAGAACAGGGTTGAATTTCCCCGCATAGCTAGCACCAGCTCGGCTGTATTTTTGGATAGAAAGCAGGCTATCAGCGAGCTAGCAGCTGAAGCTAACAGCTCAGTTAAACTGTCCTGACACCTAACTTAATGGTCACCTGTGTTAGCGCCCCTTAACGGCCCGTTAGCTGAAAGCACAGAGGCACTGCTAAGACCACGCTAGGATCTGGAGGTCAGCAGGCTGGAGTCTTTTAATCTGGAGGTGATAGTTGTGGAAACTTGGCTCTAATTCTCGCCTTTTTTGTTCTCCCCCTCATTAAATCACAGCAAAGCTGTGCAGGAGAATGAAGCCCAATGCCGGGCACAGCCCTCCGCAGCAGGACAGCCTGGAGCTCTCTCCTTCTTCCACATTAGCTGCCTCCTAAGCACAAGCGCCGTGTACGAATCCTGCTGCAGGTCCTGCCAACTGTAACACCTCTGCTGGACCACAGGTGAGGAGGAGCGAGGAGGGAAAACAAGACCACCTGGGGGAGTCTGCTTCCTGCAGCCATGGAGGAGGAGGTGGAGGCGGTGAGCATGGAGTACCTGCTGGAGCAGGTAACGCAGAAGGACCTGGGGAAGAGGCTCCAGGTGGGCCAGGAGGTCATGGAGCTGATCCTGGATGAGGAGAGGTCCCCGGAGCTGGAGCAGGACCAGAGCATGCTGGACAGGATGGTGGACTGCGTGGCCAGCTCCTGGGTCAATTCCAGCAACTTCAAGGTGAGCAGAGCAGCAGCAGCTGGAGGGTGAGATGGGGTAAAAAGAAAAAAAAGATCCCAGTCCTCACATCTGTCAGCGTGCTTGTGAATACAGCACTTCAGCCTCAGCTGTTGCAGTACAGAGGGAGTGGTGCTTTTATTTAGTTGTGAAACTCGGCTGGAGAAGTGCCCTTAATTTAGAGTGTTGGCTGGGTGTGTTAACTGTAACACACCATTTCATTAGGTTTCTCATCCCTCACTGAGTGTCTTTAATAAAAGAAGAGCTGAATGGCTGGTCGTTTTGGGAAGGAAACACTCAGTTTAAGTCACGATGAGAGCCACTGTATTCCTTCTGAGAAGGTGGGGAATTCCTGAGCTGTGGAAACCAAAAATATTAAAACCGACCTGTAATAACATGGCTTTAAACAGCTCGATAAAATAGAGAATTGGCCAAACAAAGCCCCACTAAATACAAGTGTGGTGTTTATTGTGTTATCTTTACCCTCCAGATGTGTTGTAATGTTTGGCTTCCTGTTGACAAATGACACATCTTTGTAATGTCAGCTGATGTCCTGAGAAATGACTGAAGTTAAGAGTTGAATTTCTGGTTATTTTAGGACCAGGATAAGTCATTAACAACTTAGTGATATGCAAAAGTCTTCTTGGGGTAAGCTTTGAAAATGATGGTGAAAGCCTGCTGAGCAGTTTTCAGTGCTTCTTGGTTTCAGATTGTGTTAGTGTACGGTGCCATTTGAAGGAGATCTAACCATCCTTTCTGTTAAATAGAAGAAAATAGAGTCCAGAATTCTGATTTCTTTTATTGTCGTTTTTTAAGGTGGTACTTTAAGTCTTCCTGCCTCTTATTTCCCACCTCGTTTGTGTGTTTGAGCCTGAAACCGCTCGATGCTAATTACCGCAGCTCCTCGTGGAGCGCTGCTCTGTCTGAGAGCTGATGAATAACCCACCAGCCTGTTTACCTTCAGCTGCAGTCAGCCCGGTTCCCCGTGCTGCTCGATTAGCATGCTGTACATGGACGTTTGCTGCCGCCGCCGCTGGTGCTGGTTAATCAATAGAGATGGGAGTAGTGCACAGTAATGTAGAGCTGCTTTAGGCTGATGATGTCACTTTTTAATGCAACGGTGCCAGAGAGGACAAATCAGAGTCGTGCTGACTCCACAAATATGCAAAATAAAACAAAAACAACCATCTGCTGTTTAAGTTTGTGTAGTTTAAACAAACGAAACTGTCAATGAACCCTCGTGTTTCACGCCGGTCAGATAGAAAGGTAAATGTGCCAGACTTAGCCAAACAGATGCTGAATAAAAGCACATAATTGATTAATCATAGAGCATCTAAGGACAGTTACAGAGCTCCTGACCCTGATGATGGATTTACTCAACTGTTGCCATTTTTCACCAGCTCTGCTTCTTATACAAACTACATGTAGCTACCCAGTTCTTTTCTAATATTACTTATTAAAAATGCCTTAAAACTCAAAGCCAGACTGTGGGAACAAACCGTCCAACATATCTGAGGCTTCTGTAATGTCTCTCAGGTTTCCTTCACATATGTTCTTCTCATGGTCGTATTTTTGTTGGGTTCAGTTAAGTTCACTTTTATTTATATAGCAGCAATTCACAGCAACATTCAGTTAAAGACCGTATACTAACACAACGAAAACCCCAATAATCAAACGGCCCCCCTATGAACAAACATTTGGCGACAGTGGGAAGGAAAAACTCTCTTTTAACAGTACGACTAGTTGGAGTTGAGGGGAGGAAGTCAGGACAAATTTATGGATTTGTTTCTGATATAGGTAGAGTCTGTGTTACCTGATTTAATAGAAGGTTTTTTCCTGTCTGATAGACAAAAAAAACAAAACAAACGGTGTTAATATTCAGTGAATGAAACCCCCAATGGTAAAAATGCTTTGGTGGAAGACCAGATGGTTTGTTTTTTTTATAAACATCTGTTTTACAAAATAGATGTTTGCACCATTGTCTACCAAAGGAAACCCTCTGATGTGAATCACAGCTCCTGAACGGCTGCTGAACTTTTAGTCTTATTAACTAAAATGCCGGATTTTTCACTGGAGTCTGGTGTGGCATCATTTCACTCAGTAGTAAGAGCAGCAGACACATACGGACCAATTGTATCGCTGCATCCCGCGCTGCCCTGGAAACACAGCCTCCTGGCCGTCCTGGTGATGTCTGTGGGGCCGTAACGAGGACGGCGAGGCTCCCAGGCGAGCACGGCAGAGGCAAGCTTAATTTACCAGCACCCATTAGCCCAGTTTCCTGCTCTGTGTGAGCGAGCCAGCAGGTCTGACAGAGACTCAGCTTCCAGCCAGTCGCTGCTGTTAACAGGGCACTAAAACCTTCCAGCGCTGAGTGTGAAGGATGGAGGAGGGCTCTTTCACAAGCTGTTAGGATAATGGCTCGTGTTAATCGATCACAGGCCTCTGATGTAAATTAAAAGGCTGTCCAGCCAGCTGTAAATACAGGCTGCTTATGGGCAGCCTCTTATGGCAAAAGTGAAGTGCTTAAACATGAGGGAGGGATTTAAGATGATATGAATAATGGACACATGTTTAGATTCATCTCCACATTGATTTCTTCCTCTCTTTAGTGGATCAAATGTCAGAAACACTCATTTTATTTGTAGTAGTCGAATTATTCAAATGTCACCACAAAATCCAAAGATATTCACTTTATCATCATGTCGAAAAGCAGCAATTCTCCTTCTTCACATACTCATGTCCAGATGTTTTTGGGTGATCTAAAGGTTAAAGGTCATATTTTGGACTACATATCTGCTCTTTGTGATATGATATGGAGCTGAGAGTAGAAAACACTGTGATAAACTGAGTGTTCAGAGCAGTCTGAAACCTGAGCTTTAGCTTCTCTGGGATTGCGTTTACATATTTGAAGTGTTGGCAATGTTTAATATGAATCCCCACTTCTTATTCGGGAGACATGTGACAGTAAGTAAGAAAAATTTAAACAGATCCCTGTAAACCTGAAAGTGTTTTTCTTAATCCAGATTATTCCCACTCAGAATGAACCACAAATCTCCATCAGTCTGCATACGGTTATAAAAGTGAGTCTATAATACCTTAGTTATAAGATGTCAAAGCATTTTCCTCATATTTCACAATTAATTCATTGCACAATTAATAAACAAAGGTGTATTTTATGTAAGTGAGACCTACCCCAAAATAAGTGACCTCAGTGGCTTTCCTTTAGTGGACACCAACAGATTTCATATGCAGGAAAAAAAAACTGTTATCAGTTAATCATTTGAGTCACTTCTAACATCATGATGTATTTAATATTTTTTGTCAGAATCAGTGAAAATACCCATCTTTTACTCTTTTATAGATACACAGTCGATTTATTAGTAAGCAAACAATCATTAGTTGAAATAACAAAACAAAACCACAGCTAATATGAAAATTTGGGTTATTATCTAAAAAGTGTGACTTAATAATGCAAAATTTCAAGTTATTTTCTCCAAAGTTTGAGTCAGTAACATGAAATTTTGAGACAATAATTGGTTTAATAATTTTATATAAATTTTTTATATATAAATATATAATTTTGTTTGTTTGTTTTAAATTATATAAAATTTAAAAGACGCTCAGTGAATATCACTCCAAGTATATAAGAGCTTACAGGTAAATATGTAACACATTTGAGTATGAATATATAAAAACGAAGTATCTTCATAAATTTAAATAAAGTCCTTGGAAGAAGAATGGTGTTGTTATACAATGAAAATAGATTGTAATTAACTCGTTCAAATATCTACGTCAGTGTCGTTCCGCTCTCCGTCCAGCAGATGGCACCATAGCGGAGGCGGTCGTTTTATTTCAGTCACCCTTATATTAGTCACGCTCAATCGCTCTCTGTTGTTGAGAGTTTCCAAAAATTGCACCGTGGTCTGAACTCGCGGTTCAGGTGGTGCGTATGTGTTGATATGGTGTCAGCAGGGAATCTCTCACTACGCGTTCATTGAGTTTCCCAAACCACCCCATGACAAGGAAAGTCATATTCTCTTCCCCGGAAGCGCTGATAGTAAGATCTACACAGTGGCTACACTCACGGTTCACAATCAGGTCAACGCTTCAGCGCACAGGACCGCAGTTCACACTGTTAGCTCACATCACAGATACACCAGCAGCCTTTATTCGGCCTTTTTCTACCTTTTTAGAGCTGAAACCGCTGCTTTCTGTGTTACCCATAAGCCTTTGCGGCTCATATTCAAATACTGTGCTGCTGCGGCGCTGTGGAGCTGCCGGCGCTGAAGGAGGAGTCACTGTGGATCAGTTTAACCGCCCGTGTGATGGTGTGTGTGTTTCAGGTGGTTTTACTGGGGATGGATATCCTGTCGGCTCTGGTGAGCCGGCTGCAGGAGAGATTCAGGACACAGGTTGGAACTGGTGAGCCTCTCCTCGTTATTTATTGCACACATAATAACAGTACAACAACATGAGCTTCAGCTTACTTTTAAAAATGACTTTAACCTGTTTTTGTTAGTTTTAGATAGATGTATTTATACTAAAATAAGACTTTGTGCATTAAAAAAATCTGTTATTTTCTTAAATATTTAGAAATGTTACAAAATGTATATAAATATGTATTTTTTACATTTTTCCCAAATTAAAAATATTTAATTTACATTTTGATGCACCTTGAGTGTCTTTTATTTTATGTTTTCATTGCAAATCTCTACATGTGCGTATTAAATGTAATTTATATTATTATTTAAGGTTAATGTTACTTTATTGTTTTTCATAGGAGGAAATGGCTGGAATGATAGTTACATATACTAAAATATCAAACACTGCAATTATAAAAACACACTTAAAAATGAAAGAACTGTGTTTTCTTACATTTACACGATGGTGTGTGATAGAAGGACACCAGCAAGAGGGTTTATAAAGTGATAGTGAGACCTGTTAGAGAGAAAAGAGCCTGCTACTCACATTAAACACACAACAGTTTGAATCAGTAAAAGAGAAAACACTGCAAACAGTTAAAAACAGTTTACAGGAACCAGCTTCTCAGACTGACTGTTAGAGCCAAATGTGTGACCTTATTTCTAGTAGAGGGGTTTGTGTCCATCATCATGTCTTCTCCTGTGTTTAACTGGTTCTTTTGTAGTTTTAGTATTTAAAGGCTGAGCATCATGAACACGTGTCATGTTTGTCTAATTGTGTCTTTCTGAATACAGACTATTTTTTAAAGGCTTTGAGTTCAGCAGAATTAGTTTTTAACTAGTTTTCTCACACATCGTGCTCACCTCTACAAAAATTATTTGAAACTTTAAGCCAAACTCTGTGATACAGTGTGGCCAAACACGCGTTTTATGTTATTTTTGAAGTGTTGTGAGGAAGTACTTTTGATTTCAAATGTATTTATTTGTCTGCATTAGACAGTTCCTCCCATTCCTCACTGTTACTATGATAAAACCACCGATACAGGAAGGATTTCATTCATGTGGCTCACAGATTTTAATCCCATTTTACTCTGTGCTCCTCTTATTTAAACTTTAATAATCCTCCGTAGACTTAATGTTTATATCACAGCCATTATTTTCAGTCTTTCACTTAACTTACTGTCTGTGCTTGTATGGAAGTAATGGAAGTCATCTCTATAATCAGATGACACGAGTGCAGCAATAAGAAAATTGATTCAGTTCTCAGAGTTCACACCCCACAGTTTCAGCTTCAACAGATGATTTTATTTTCCTGACCAAAGCTTAGATTCTCTCTATATTTCTCCTAGTTTGAGAAACACTGCGTTAATATCCAAACATGGAGGTTTTTGCTTTCTTTGTGATATCACTGCAGGCTGTAAACACCAACTCTCGCTTCCTGTTTCAGTCCTGCCCAGTCTTATCGATCGACTGGGAGACGCCAAGGATCAAGTCCGAGAGCAGGACCAGGCACTTCTGCTGAAGATCATGGACCAGGCTGCAAACCCACAGGTACACTCACTCTTCATCTTATCTCCTTTTTCACACCTTTGGTCACAGGAGATCCACCTTAGCAGAAATATGTTCAATTACCATCAACATTTGTTGAATTTAAGTGCATCTCGGGAGCTGATATTTCATTCAAACAACTGTTTTGCACGATATAATAACCTCATGGTGGTGCTGACCTATAACATCTGGTGTCATAACTCTGCAAACTACAGGGAAAAAAGACGGCACAGGAGAAATTTTGCCATCAGGCATTTAAATTCAAATTTAAACTCACAGAAAAGTAAATTAGTCTAACACTCACATTTCCACCTGCATGTTTGGATTTATCCACCACTGTGTCGTCCTCCAACAGAGCGTCACCATAACGTTACAGGTGACATGTTAATGTCTCTCTGTCTTCTCCCTGTGTTCAGTATGTGTGGGAGCGAATGATGGGAGGATTCAAGCACAAGAACAACAGGACCAGAGAGGGACTCTGCCTGTGTCTCATCTCAACTTTAAACGTGTAAGTTATTAATATTATTGAAAGCAGTAACTGATTTATAATGTAACAGCAGGTTTGGCGCTTATATTTGGGACTCTGTTAACTCTTTGTTTGTTTATTTAGCTCTAAAGTTTCAGGAAATATTCAGAGAGGTTTATCACAGCTTCAGATATAAAACTGTCACATCTGATTTTTATTTCAAAAGTTCAAACCTAAAACTGGTTCATGGGATAAAAGAAAAGCTGCAAACCTTCACGTGCGAGAAGCTAGAGATGCTTTTGTTGTTTTTGCTTTTAAAAAACGCAGAAATGAGTGTGTGGGTGATTTTCAAAATAAAAGAGCACAAACTGGAAGTTTTATTCATAGTAAAGGAAGCGTACTGATGATGTCATGTGTCTTTGAGCTCACCTCCAGTTTTACTTGACTTTAGTCAGTTTTGTGTTTTGATCTTTCAGGTTTGGCTCTCAGAGTCTGACGCTCAGTAAAATCGTTCCTCACATCTGCAGCCTCCTCGGAGACCCCACCAGCCAGGTACAATGCCTGCTCACTCACACGGTCACACACACACACACACACACACACACACACACACACACACACACACACACACACCAGGTTACACTGTGGTTTGAGCCGCTTTCACACATGCACTGTGAGCAGCTTCTTGAGGATCGAGTCGGATTGTTTTCCACAGGAAGTTGGAAAATGTCCGCTTCAGACATGTTCTCACATCAAACCAGGTAACGCTAGATGAATTACTTTAAAAAGACAGAAAATATATTAAAATGTGCAATAATTCAGCAGTGAATCAGTGAAAAGAATAATGCTGTCTTAAAAAGACAAGCTGCTACTTAATAAAGTAAGGCTGAGGATGTTTTAGGTTGAAAGATTTCTGCTGCTTCCAGCCGTTGTGTGAAAACTTAAAACCCCCTCACCAGTCATCATTTTACTGCTAAACTCTGGCTCATCTAGCAGAGATTAGCAGGCCTGAGGGGCTGTAGTGGTTCATATGCAGTCAGTATCTGAGACTTACATACTGGAGTGCTTCAGAAACAAGTGAAAGGACTTAACACTCAGGACAGCAGCTGAGCGGCAGTCGTGTGATGGCTTTAAACAGCTGTACTGTGCAGGTCAGCCAACTTCCTCCACATCCAGCTGGAGAACAGTTTCTTTAATCTGCAGTAATCTTGGTGTTTGACTGCCCTCTGCTGGTGGAGTTCAAACATTACACTACACCAGACCTGCTTTAGCTGATGTCAGACCCACACCGCTGTACAGGGATGAAGTCTGTGATCCTCCAGCTCTGCATCAGGATCCTCAGCTATCATCTGTCTGCTCCCCTCTCTGTTTGCCGTTTACTGATTGGTTCGTCATCGCCGGAATCGCACTTCCTCCTCAGGACAGGAAGCCGTGCCCATGAACTTCCCTTTCCAAAGCCAAACACACTCACGCATGCTCAGTGAGGCCTTCAGCTACCCTTATCAGATTTTAAAGTCTATAGTCTTTGTTTGATTTCATCACTAATCAGTTGCAGAGAGAAAAAAGTCACAGCTTTGAACACAGTTCAGATGTTTAGTTTAAAGTCGGTGTGTATTTATTGTTGCTTTTAATCTGCATCTAGACGAAAACAAAGAGAACGATTTAAACCGGTGTAACGTAGAGCTTCTTTCAAAATAAGAGTGAGAACATCAATGTGGACACGTCACTGTAAATGCTGATACACACACAGATGGATTTGCACCAGGACACAAAGTAAAGAAAGAAAGACACCTGGAGCGTTAAACATGTCATCACAGTCATGTGTTTTTCTGCTGTGACAGCAGCCAAAGAGCATCATGGGAGATGATTTTAATTGTTTTTAAAGTGTCGACCACATATTCAGGATGATTTAAAACAAGCAATCTCTTTGTGTTCAAGTAATGTGTTTACCTGTCGGCCCACAGGTGCGTGATGGCGCCATGAACTGCCTGGTGGAGATCTACCGGCACGTCGGAGAGCGAGTGCGGATCGACCTGGGAAAGAAGGGCCTGCCTCAGTCACGGTGCGTTCAAAGCTCCCTGTAAATCTCATCATGTGAAGGGCTCTGTGGTACTGCTGGTGGTGCACACTCACATTACTCAGTTACATGTAGAAAAGTGACAGCCTTTTGAATAACTGTTCTTCACATTAGAAGGAAAGGCATTCACAGCCCTTTAAAAACACTGTTTCTGATTAGTTTTTTATTGATTGATTGGTTATTTAATCTAGAAAATATTAGAAAATCTATGAAGCCTCATTGATCAGCAGAGTGTCCTGTTACGCCAGAGTTTCACTTACATGTGTTTTATGTCAGTAATGAGATAGAGCTATAGAGGAAGAGTGGCTGTCTGCTGGAAGTTACAGCTGTTAATGAAAAACCTCAACAAGCAAAGTGAATTAGTGAAAACTCAGAGGAGGGAATGCTTCATCTCAGGCTCCTGTGGTTAGATGTTTGGGTTTTTCACTGCTTAGATTGGCAGTGATGGTCTTATTAATTAACTGACTTTTAACTTCAGCTTTAATCTGATGATCAGTGTCTGATTAAATGGCAGATAATTAAGTTATTAATTGAATAATCAGGAAATAGTTTTCATTTTAATCACACAAACAGTAACTGACTGTTACCAATAAAGCTCGTCCTTTGAGTGATGGGTGCTTCCTCCTCCATCAGGTCAGCAGATGTGACAGTGACATTGTGGTTCTTGGTGTTTGTTCTAATAATATCTGCCGTCGTCTGTGTATTTTTGGAGGCTGTAGACTCTGTGCTGTTACTTTGGCCTATTTAAACACTCTCCCAGGAGCCTGAAATGAGCCAGTTTTCTGTTTTTCAGAGGACACTCTGCACGCTTGAAGCCAGCAAGGCCTCTTTTTTTTTTAACTTGGTGCTTTCCTGACATCATAACACCAGCTGCTTCTGACTGTCTGCTCCGTCTCTGTGTGCAGGCTGAACGTCATCTTCAGTAAGTTCGATGAAGTCCAGAGGTCGGGGAACATGGTCCTGTCACCTTTGTCGGGTAAGTCCTGCAGCGTTTGATGAGCTCAGTTTGGTTTATGGTGCCAGGGGCAGTTTTATGATGATGCTTCTGTTGTCATGGCAGCGTTAATTTGTTTATTTAATATTTTCTATTGTCGATTGTTGAAAGCAGCCTCAAGACACGCGACATGTGACCCTCCCAAACTGCACCAAATTTGTCTGTCCATGTCAGGGCTCTAGACTTACTTTTTATTTAGGAGCACCAGCACAAAAGTTAGGTGCACCCAAATTTTTCAACCGCATTTGAACCCCACTGCTTTACATGTTCACTTTTTATTTTATTTTTTTAATTGCTGTCCATACAGACAATATTGATCTTGTCTTTATTTGGAGCACATTTCTACAAGAAAGAGAAGTTACTCAAAAGTGCTTGTGCTTAAAGTACAATATTGTAGACAATGTTAAACTTAATCATCATCTCGGCCTCCTCTGACGACCTGTTTGCTGCTGCCTGCTGCTGAAAGGCAGTGGGGAGAGGGGACACATAGGCAGTGCATTTATCGCTTCATATAATGTGTTTTCTGGATACACTGTGCTTTTTCAGCCTTCAGAGGTTGATGGGTCAGGCCTTAACTTAACAAAAAATTTATCAATAGGTCTTTTCATCTTTTCTCATTACCCACAGCTACATCCACTTATGTCAGGCCTAGGCTTCTCACTAGGGCTGGGTACCATCACTGGCTTCACTATAATCCATTCGATTCCGATTAATAAAGTCCCGATTCAATTCCATTCAATTTTGACTCAGACAGTCAGAAATACTATAATTCTGATCATTTATCAGTACTGACACTTGTGAGACTTTATCAGAGGTGTAAGCATCACACCACATGCCTTTGTGTCAAAGTAACTGAGGATAAAACACAGAAAAACATGAAGAATATTTTCCTGGCCTGGCTTTTTATAGCAGATAAGCTTAAAAATATTCTGCAGTAGAACAAAAACTGAAGAAGACCATGAGTGAACATATAAAGATGCTGCTGAAGTGAAGCAGAGCAAAGTTACAGAGGTTCTATTAGAGACACAGCTAAGCGGTTTGCAATTTGGCTTTATTTAAAAAAGTTTACGTTTCTGTGCTATTAAACAGCAGACATGAGACTTTCTTGTCAGAGGTCTTTTTTTGAAAAAAAAAAAAAAGCCGACATCTCACTGATTCTGCTCTCATTTGCTGTTTTAGCTGTTTGGTTGTTTTTCAAATAGTTTTGTGAATTTTAAGATTCTGGCGTTTCTGGCAAAATATGTTTATATTTAAAAGTAGATTCAGGATTTAATGAATCGATATCGCTTTATTAAAGCTACTCACCTCTCTCTATCTGCCTGCACTTTCAAACATACACGTGTGTGGGACCAATCAGGCCAATCAGAGAGGTCCCGCCCCTGACTATCTCTTATTGGTTTAGACAACGATATGGGCATAATGTGTGTCTGTTGTTGACCACGCAGAGACTTTCAGACTTGGAGAGGATTCTTTTTTGTCGCACCATTGCGAAATGAAGTTGCATATGTGATCAAATTAAGTCGCACTCTAGAGCCCTGTATGTGCACACTTACTGAACTCCATGATAGCCTCATAAATAAATCCAGAAGCATCCGAGTTACTCCTGTTGATCACCAGCTGACTTGCACCCAGTTTATGGTTTATATGTACTGAGTGTGTCCATGGAAAGTCCTGAATGCTGTTTTTGGGTACCAGGAAATATTTCCAGTGTTTTCCAGCGCTGCTGGGATGGGGAATTCATTTTTATAAGTCAAAGATAATCTCTGTGTTGTGGTTTCATCTGTGTTTATGCACAAAATCAATCAGTCAGGGAGAAAACTACAAACAGGGCTGTCACTTTGTCCTCTCACACTATACTCAGCTGGTGCTTCTCATTCCTCTCGTGTTTTGGGGACTTCCTTACCTGGATGATTGAGATGTTATCGAGATGTTTTCACAGATTTAGCTTCCTGGGCGATGTTTTTTAAAAAGTATAATACAGAGTTAACAAAGAGTTCATATCAAGTTACAAAGTTGCAAAACTGAGGAAAACTGAAGCCTGATGGTTTCTGCTGTGAGCGAGCAGGATATTATCCACACAGTTTATGTTTTCACATCCAGAGATAAAGAACATCCGAATCTAGGGTTGGACCATTAATCAGAGGTTAATCTTAATCATAATCTTGGCTTTCAGTGATTATGAAAGCATGATAATGGAGATAAAACTGGAGATAAAACAGTTTCTCTTTTGTCTGTTCTTTTTCCCTACAAAGCTCTGAGTTTGTCTTGTGTTTCAGTGCAGAAAACAGGAAACCTTGTTAGACATATCAGTAGAAAACAGCTGCAGTTCTCTGTCTTCAAGTAAAATGATACTGATACGCTTTGAGTGTCCTTTGATCAGAAAAAAGAAAAAAAAGACCAACATTTATGAATTTCTTGAAAGGAACAAATCATGAAGACGTGTTTGGACTGGTTTGGTGATGAATAGATGGAAAGATTTTGGTGAACAAGATCTGCTTAGAGGAAGTAAGATGTTTATGTAAGTTAACCTGTGAAGGATTATTAACTGGTAGAGCTGCCTTCGTCTCCGATCTCTCTCCGGGTCCTTTTTGGTGATGCCTGACCAAAGTTTTGATTGGCTGGTCGGCTCTCCACTCATCTGTCCATCTGGACTCTGACGGCCAATAGCGAACAGTGGTCGCCCTTTCAAAGTGGGCTTTTTCTGAAACACTCGCTAGCCTAGACGCCTGACTCAATAACGGATGGTCCTGTGTGCATACCCATTTCTTCTGTTTGTTTATTTATTGGTTTCTCTTTTCACTTTCACATAACAAACACTTGGTGTTTGGTAAGTTAATAAGTAATGATGAAATAATCAAGATTACAGTTAATAACTAAGATAACTGTGATTTCTTTGTACTGCAGATGAGACAATCTGTCTCATTTCTATAATGTTGACTGCGTCATAAAGGCCTGAGGAGCTTTAAGAAATCAGAGATGTGGCTCAGATGTCTGAAACACACACAGGCCCAGTAATGTGTCACACCATTAATGCTCTTTTCAATAGTTTCTGCTCAGTTATAAGAAGTTTCTGCTTCATAAGGAGGAACTGAGGGGAAAGACTTTCCCACTGAAGAAGGTGTTCGCTTTTTAAGGTAGCACACAAAGTTCCTTACACATGTTTTACAGCAAACGTGCAATTATATCCGGGGATGTCCTGGCATGGAAGCATGTTTGAATTTTGTAATTTTCACTTTCTGATAATATTTTGCTCATAAAAATAAGTCCATACAAAAATTAAAAACCCACATATCAATTCTGTGGCCCATTAAAAAGATTTAATTTGCTAATTGGATTTATTCCTCTCTTTGTCTCTGTTGGTCCTGTGGGATTCAGATGGAGGCTGTAAATCTAAAAGTGAGAGAAAGTACACGTTGTACTCATCAGTGAGTCTCAGTGTTTCTGCTGGGAAGCCCTCTCCATGGTGTAAAGCTGTGCGTGCTGTCTTTCAGTGAGAAGGAAACCCGAGTGCCTTCTTTGTTCCTGTGGACTGAAATGAGCAGATTTCAGTCACTTTGCTGCAGGAAAAGTGACCCTGCAGAACACAGACGGGACAGTTTACACAGTGAAAAGCAGCTACTTATGTTTAGTGCTATGGCTGTGTGGCAGGACAGGGAAAACTGCTGAGCAGTCATTAAAGAGGATGAATATTGTTTCTGAGCAGGTGTGTTTTGTTTGTCTCTGTGTGATCTGTGCACAGAGGTTATGGTTAGCAGACCGGAGCGAGTCACATTAAACTGGTTTGATGGTCTCATGAACTCGTTACCTCGCTCCATCTCTGGTCACATGGGTCAGCTTTCATCTCAGGAGGTGCTCAGCCTTGAAAAGAAAAGGCACAACCACCTTCCTTTAGGAAAGCCTGATGATCATTCATCCCAGGTTTTGTTGTTAATGAATATATCTGCCATATTTGAGGTCAAACATGTCCCAAGATGTTTCAGCGTTACTGTAACAGAAGGAAACGCGTATTTGTTATTCATGTAGAGGCCCACAAAACCCAGTGTTTATAGATGATTACATACAGAGAAAAAACAGCAGCTGACACACGTCATATTTATAAACCTTAAGTCTGCTCAGATTTAATCTTTAAGAAAAAGAAACTTCATCACACAGCACATTCATTTATCTAAGTGTATAAATATAATAAACTGAAGTGAAATAACCAGGTTTGTTTCAGGTAACAGGAACAGAAACACAAGAGATGAAACTCTGACTTTTCTACATCTTCACTAAATCTGACTCATTAAGAATCACTTTGTCTCTCTGGTTTTAGTAAACAGTTTATCCTGATTAATTTATAAGGTGACGTAAGCATGACTGCTAACTACACAGCACCTGTAATGAGTCCGTGTTACATTACCTGACAGAAATCTTTGTATTTTTCTGTTATTTTCTGACCATCCAATGAACATAAATGGGCATTATGCACGAGTAAATGAAATCTAGTACCACACTGACCCCTGGATCCAGAAGGATCTCTGGATCTGGATTAGATTGTGATATCTTCCTGAGAACTTCAAGACAAAAGCAGACGGTTTTTCTTATTTCAGTGTGATTTGTTTTTGCAAAGCTCTTATGGAAAATTTTCAGTTTGCTGATGTCTCACAGGGCAGTGTTGTAATGGATCCTTCCAAAAACTACTGGACTCTGAGCTGCACTTCAAAGATTGATCACTTTAAACCGCACTGAGCTCTGATCAAATTCCCCCGCAGATCTGTTCTGATTACTGAGTAATCCTGCTGGCAAGCAGACAAGCTGGACTGATGACATTGGCTGCTCTTCAGAAGTGATGATGTCACATTTAAAAGCTGACTGAACAGCTAATGACTAAACGAGTCCTGACATTGATAAAGACTCACTCCTGTGTGTAGTGCTGGGCCCTGTCTGTCAGCTGAACTGATACGGAGGACTTATTTAACTTTCCTCAGACACGCGGCCTGATT